GGCAAACTATCTGGCAGGAGCTATTAAAACTGAACACCGAAATCACTTAAAATTTCATTCCTAGGTCATGTGCACCAGAAGACATGTAAGAATGTTCACAGCAGCCTTACTCATGATCGGTCAAAACTGGAAAGACCTGAGTCTTCCTTTAGAGTAGAATGGATAACAGTGGTCTATACACATCATGGAACACTCTACAGCAACAAGAATGAGTAACACACAACCCCCACAATAACTCGGATGCATGTCCAAGCATAATGTCAAGTGAAAGAAAGCAGGGGGCCAGCCAGGTGGTGTAGAGGTTAAGTTCATGCACTCTGCTTCGGTGGCCCAGGCTTCGTGGGTTCAGATCCCAGGCATGGACCTATACACTGCTCATAGAGCCATGCTGTGGCAGCATCCCACATACAAAATGGAGGAAGATTGGCATATATGTTAGTTCACGGACAATCTTCCTCAAGTAAAAAGAGGAAGATTGGCAACAGATGTTAGCTCAGGGCCAATCATCCTCAGAGAAAAAAAAAAAATGGAAGGAAGGAAGAAAAAAATGAAAGGAAGCAGACACAAATGAGTACACACGTTTGATCGCATTTAGTAAAGTTCAAAAATGGGGGAAAACTAACCCTTAGTGTTAGAAGTCAGTTCGGTGGGTACCCTTGGAGGGTAGTGGCTGAAACGGGGCATGAGGGGGGATTTGGGAGGGGCTGGGAATGATCTCTGTCTCACTCTGGGTGCTGGTTGCATTGGCGTGTTCACTTTGTGAAAATTCGTTGAGCTGTGTGCACTTTTTTGCATGTTGGACCTTAATATAAAGTTTAGAAAGATGGTGGTAAAGGAGAAAGAGGAGGAAGCCGAGGGAGGGAGAGGATTTGGGAAGGAGGAGGAAGAAATTCTAAGCTCAGTCGCCTAAATGTGCTTCCTGGATAACGAACCGCTCTGACTCCCAGCTGAATCCTTTTTTAGGGAATTGACCTCACTCTATGAACGTGGCTGAGGTCGCACCTCGCCATATCTGTCAGTGTCCTTTTTATGAAGGCTCATGGGAGAAACTTCTGTAATATCTCACTGCCCTGCAAAGTTATTCTTATCTCAAGCAACAGGGGTGTGTGTGTGTTTAACCTAGGTACACTGTGTTTATGGAATATCTTGGTTTGCTCTTTGCTTTGGTTGCTAGGAAGCTCAGTGTCAAAATTCCAGCCCACCTTTAGTGGTTCCATTCGCCCATTCTGTGTCTGCTCTGCACAGGGGCTGGGCCAAGGTGATGAGCAAGACACATCCCTGCCCTTGGGTCTCACCGTCTGGCTGGGACGCAGGTCTGCAGGAGGTGGTTAGAATGCACCCATCAATGCCATGAGGGGAAGCACAGGGCCAGTGGTTGCATATAGTGGGGGCCTAACCCACCCTTAGAGAATCAAGGAAGGCTTCCTGGAGGAAGTGCCCCTTGACTTAAGTGAGAAGGGATGACCAGGCATTAACCAGGTGAAGAGGGTGGAGGGCAGTGTTCCAGGCAGAGGGAACAGCATGTTCAAAGGCCATGAAACAAAAGTGAGTCTGAGTCCAATGGCAAATTTCTATTTTCTCTTTCCCTGGTTGGTATACTCGTCAACTCTTATTTCCCTTTGCTCTGATTTTCTTATCTTTTAAATTTTGTCTTACTTTTTCAAGGCCCCATACATCTTACGTGACCATGTGTGATACAAAGACACAAAGAACCCGGCAGAATTTTCTGTAGGTGCCGGCACTGGTTGGTCTGGTCCAGGGCTCAGAAGCCTGGCTCCCTCCCTCCCTTCCCCCAGTTCCCCAGACGCTGTGGCTCTAGATGCTAAAGATGCGCATCTCATCCCTCCCTCTCACCACATCTCCCCCAGCAGGGCAGCCACTGCAGCGCAAGCCCCCACATCCCACCTGACAGCTCGTGATGAATTACCGCATCGCATGTCAGCTCCGCGGGAAGGAATTTCCGCAGGGAAGTCACTGATGTTCCCCGCCAGCCCACAGCTCTCCGATCTTTTGCTTCTGCTTCTCCACCAATTGCTGCTTCCAGCAAGAGGGGTCAGGCTCTTGTTCTCTAGAGCCTCGAGCCAGAACATGAGGTGCATGGGCGCCACCACCTCTGCTCCTTACAGTCTTTCCCCTAAGAGGGCACAGGCTCCTGGTGCAGCAGCTCAGCCCAGCTCCTAACTATGTGCAGACGGGACTGACTTCCAAGCTCCTGCTTCTTCCTCGTGCATGGTCCACTCAACAGTGGATGCTTTACTGTTGCGGTGGGAGAGGGCATGAGTTACGCAGGCTGAGAATCCTTGGTGGGGAGAGTGAACACAATCATGAAGAGGATGAGAAGGGGAGAAAAGAGCCCCCTCCTCAACTTCATTCCACATCCCCATGTGAGCCAGCCATGCTCAGCTGGGGCTGGCAACATAAGAAAAAGAATGTGCTCTGTTGCCTTGATCGTGAATCTAATTAAAGTCATCTCTATGCATCAACCAAACCAAGCACTATTATCAGTAATAATAACCCCATAGCCTCACAGGTGTAGAAAGCTCTAGTTTTGCTCTGGACTGACAGATATTATCCCACGTTGCCTCAGGACCTTTGCACATGCCATATCTACTCTTCCCCCAGATCTGCACATAGATGGGACATTGAATCATTCAGATCTAGAATCAAGGCCTTCTCTGACCACTTGGGCAAAAATAGTTCCTACTCGACCTCCCTTTGTTGCCACCTCCCTCTACTTAATATCTGCAGCCCCGCGCAATCTGAAACTCCTTCACTTGTTTATGTGCTTCTAGTCTGTCGGGGACTTTGCCTTGTCCCTAACCTTAACCAAGATGCCCAGTCACATGCCTGACACACAGGAGGTGCTCATACATATTTGCTGAATAAATGAGGTACCCAGGGCTTCATGGAAAAAGATAGCAGAGACTAAGGACGAGGCGTGCGAAACACCCACCTGGGCTGCAAAATTTAAGGGAGCGCCAAATAATTCAGAAATTAAGATAAACAAAATTTGAATGCTATCTTCAAGAAAATCAAAATCAGTGCCAGAAATCTGTGATGAATAAAATATCAAACTTTTAAATGAAGACGGGATCCCATCCCATAGACTGTCTCACTTGTTTCACCCTAATCCTACCCCATGGATCCTGCGTTTATTTAAAAGTTTGATATTTGGCTCATCATGGGTTTTTTTTTTGCATGAATTAACATTTTCACAGGTACTGCATTAAAATAGTATTTATCGTGCTGAGTCTTTTGGCGCCCCTTGAAGTTTTGTGGCCCGGATGAGCGCCTCGCTCTCCTCTCCTTATCCTCGTCCTGGCCCTGAGGGGTACGTGGAATAGCAAACTGTCCTTGAACCTTGAACTGCTCTTCCTTGCTCTCCCCACAGCTCACTGACCACGCCCCACCTCACCTTGTCTGGATTTGTTAAGAAAGCCATGGTTGACGCTAGTCTCCCTGGGGGCAGGGACAGTCTGGCTCGCGTCCCCACCCTCACCCCCCAAACTCAACATCCAACTACAGAAAGAAGACCCCAGCCCGGAGTCCCACACAATCTTGTCCAGTCACAAGTCCGTTTCCACCCCTCGGAGGGGACCACTACTCCGGATTTGGGGTTACTGCTCCTGCGCTGTAAACGCCCCAAGCAATAGAGAGCATCCTTCTGCACGTTTAAAAAATTAATATGTGCGACATCACAGTTTAGTATTCTTTTGTAACTTAGTCATTTTCCTTCAGAGTTATGTCTGCGAGGGCAATCCGTGTTGATTCGTGGGTGTGTAGCTGAAGGGTCAGGAAACTTTTTCTCTAAAGAGCTGGAGGGGAACTAGTTTTAGTCCTCGCAGGTCCTACCGTCTCCATCACGACTGAACTCTGCCCCCGCGGCACGAGAGCAGAGACTGCACACGGAGGAATGGGCATGGCTGTGTGCCAATAAAGCTTTATTGACAAAGACCGGGGGGACAACTGGACTGGACCCGCGGGCCACGGGTGGCTCGCCTCTTGACTCGTTTTCACTTTTGGTAACTCAAATTCGAATATAACATAAATGTGTTCATGCATTCTATCAACAGACTCCCACTGGATGTCTACACTTCTTTAACACGGCAAACGCTGCTGCTATACACCACCTGCCTTTTCACATATGCACGGGAGCAAGACTCTAGCACAATACCTAGACGCGGACTCACTGGGGCACAGGGAACGGCCAGCTTCAGCTTTCAGAGATGATGCTAAGCTGTTTAAGAGCCATGGGATCCATTTACACTGTCACCCCCAGCACGGGAGTCCCTGTTGCTACAAAGCCCTGCCAACGCTTGGCTATATCAGACTTTTCGATTTTGCCCGTCTGAAGTGTGAAACAGCATTTATCATGTGTGGTGTTAATTTGCACGTCCCGATTGCTAGTGAGGCTGAGCATCTTTTCGTGAGTTTATTGGCCATCGGAATTCCTGAACCTCTGAACCCTTGAAACAAGAGTTCGCCACCTGGGAATTGCCAATTCCTATTTTTTTTTTTTTTTTGCCTATTTTTTGTTTCTATTGGAGTGTTTGCCTTTTTCAACTGATCTGAGGAAATTCTTTACAGATTCTGGATGCCTTTGCCAGTTACATGTGTTGCAAATTTTGTCTACGAGTCTGTGGTGTGTCTTCATCTTACATTTTGTTAACAGAAGCTGATGACTTTAAAATAGTCACATTTATTTTTCCCCTGTGATTTGTGCTTTTGTGATTTATTTAAGAAATTCTTCCCTTCAGAGCTGGATGACATGGGTGTGAATCTCAGCTCTCCGCTTGCTGGTCGTGTGGCCTCGGGAAGATATCTAACGTTCCGGGCCTCATTCTCCTCCGTTGCAAAATGGGGACAATAAGAGCATGCACCTCACAGGGTTGTTTTGAGAAGGCTTGTAAAGCGCTGAGCGCAACACCAGGCTCATTGTCATCTTCCCTGTGAACAGACCTCACCCCGCACGGGGACCCCCACAGGAGGGACGCGGCTACCTTGCTCTCCAGCAGGTCTGTGCTCTGCCGGAGTTCATTCCGAGACTTCTCCGATCTTTCTAGCTTCTTTCTCAGCATTGTAAGCTCCTCCTACAAAAACAAACACTTTAATAGAAGTCTTTCGGGACCACAGGTGTTAAGAGTGGCCAGGGAACAGAGTGGGTGATTCGGCCAGCCTGTCTGTGAGGATGCCCAGACACCAAGTGCCTACAAGGGACCTTTTCTTTCACCATTTCCAAACACCAACATCTCTGCTCATGCAAGCCTGGTTCACATCAGCCCGGTCTAGGGGCCGAATGCGGGTTCTCGAAATGGACCCATTTCTTAACCTGAGACCGGGCACGCCTGGGTGAGGTGGTGGCTCAGCCCTGCATCCTCCCTGAATATCACTTTACTGCCAGTGGCTCAGCACGATGCTTATGCCACCACCACTAGGGGCAACTTAAACCCCCATGCACAGCAGGCTGGCAATCGGAACTCTGGAACGCACACACAAAGGAGTACTATGCAGCCGTGAAAAGAGAACAAGGCAGATTTCTAAAAAAATGGCAATCATATTACAATATACAAATGTATCAAATTAACATGTTGTATTCCTTAATTTATGCAACCTTAAATGTCAAATATATTTCAATAAAAAAAATTTTAAGAGAAAATCCCCAAAAGAAGGGACATGGCATGATTCTCTAAATATACTTTTAAGTGAAAAATGCAAATGGCAGAAGAATAAATACAGTATGCTAGCTTTTGTGTAAGAAAGAAGGGAACGAAGAGTGTGTGTATTTGCTGTATTTTGCAAAGAGAAACAACAGGCGGGATAAACCAGAAATCAGTCAAAACGGTTACCTATCAAAGGTGGATGGAAACGGGGTGGAAGGGACAGTCAGGGGAGAGTTCTCTGAGAGGTAAGAGGATAAAGGACTCAAAGGGTCCACCAGGGGGTCTCATGGGATGAGCAGTAAGTGATCATGTTCCCTGGGGGGTCGTGCTGCATCCGACCAGCCCCCATGAGCCTAGAAGGGAGCTGGGCACGGGATGGTGGGTGGTCTGTGTTCAGGGGAGAAGAGATATTTAGAAATGGCAGCGAGAGCTGCTGGGCAGAGCATTCTCAGATCAAGAATTTTCCGGGGTGGGGGCACTGGGTGTGGACGCAAGGGCTAAGATGGGATCGGAGGGAGGGAGAAGCACGCAGCACCCTGCCTGCCACATGGACTGACCTCCTTGGCATGGAGCTGCTCATCCCCGATGGCGGTACTCAGCCGGGGCCTCAGGGAACCCAGCAGCTTCCACCACGGCCAGTCCTTGACCGCCAGGAACACAGCCATGTTCTTCTGGATGCGTTGTGCGGCCAGTCGGTGAATCTGCAGGGGAAGGAGAGTGGAGATTTGAGGGGTCCTTCCCAACCCAGGTGAAGAGAAAGGAAAGACAGGAGGCAGACAGTGGCCAAAAGGATGGGGGAAATGGGTTTATATCCTAGTGGAAGGGACTGGGTAACTTTAAAAAAAAAAGCTTCCTTTCATGGAGTCAGGTTCTCAGGATCAGGAATTAAGCCACAATTGAATGTCGCATGACCTAATAATAATAACAGGACAAGGAGTGTAAAATATTACGCAAGAGGGTCACATCTTATAGAGGGATTACATTCAAAAGTCACTGTGCCAGGCAAAATCTATCTTTGAAAATCCCTGAAATTGCCCACAAGAATCGATGGCCATGATTGCGTTGTGAGTTGATATTTAAGGATAGATATCATTTTAAGTGTGTTTAAACAGGAATTCCGTGCTTCTCACACTTGTGTGCATCAGAATTACCTGGAGACTTGTTAAAACACAGAGGGCCGGGCTCCACCCCCTGAGGGTCCGATTCAGCAAGGCCGGGGCGGGGCCCGAGAATTTGCGCTACTAACAAGTCCCCAGTTGATGCGAAGGCTGCTGGTCCGGGGACCACACTTGGGGAGCCGCTGACCTAATTCATTCTTTTGTAGGTGAGACTCTTGCTGACTTACGCGCCAGAAGATCCTTTCCCGTCATCACCGTTACAATGGCCAATACTTGTACAGCTGGTGTGGTGCTTCCCACGGGCCAGGAACTGCCCCGAGCATCTCACCCACTTTAGCTCAATCCTCATGACAACCCGTGAAGGGGGTTGTTATTATTATCTCCATTTTACCAATGGGGAAACTGAGGCACAGAGAGGTTAAAGTCACGTGCCTAGTGTCACACAGGTTCTCAGCGGCAGAGTTGGGATTTGAGCCCACGCAGTCCAGCTGCAGACAGAGCCCAGGCTCATAATTACCCTCTACTCCAAGGGCATAAGGTCCTCGAGGGCAGGGCCAGTGGGATTGCCCACAATACTTGAATTATCCAGGCTCTTGCTTTTTTCTGCTTTGCCAAGCACATGTACTTGACTTTACAAATTCACATAAGCTGGAGGCCCATGTAATGGGACTTCAGGCTAGTAGTACTAATTAACAGTGACAATACTAAGGTAATAGTACTGAGTATTTATTGAGCAGTTACTATGTGCCACATTGCGTACTAAGTGCCCTTTATCTCATTTCCCCTTCGCCCAGCTTCTAAGCAGTGGGGGTGGGATTCGAGCACAGGTCTTGCTTGTCTCCAAACCTGCACTGCCTTCTCTCCATTTTCAGGCTACAGAGAGGAAATTCAGTCTCCAGAGAGCTCCGAGGATGGTGGCCCAGGATGGGTCACAACTGTAGACGCTAAGCTTGCCCTTTAGTCCCAAAGGCCTCTGTGGCCGGGTCCTGACCATCCCCCATCTGCTGACCCCTGAAAGCCAAGTTTTCCAGAGATGGGACAGGTTGAAACCATGAACCGACCCAGGAGGGCTTGGACAAGCTCCTGGATATCTAGATCGAGGCCAACATCATTGGTAACTTGCTGTCAACGTCCTGGAAACAATCACAGCATCTTGCAAAGCATCACTTGAGTCTCACCGCTCAGAGTGGCTTGTGGACCAGCATCACTGGCACCGTCATGGGACACACGCAAACTCCCGTGCCCGCCCTGGATCCATCAGATCAGAATCTGCGCGTTAACATTATCCCGCAGCAGATTCACGCACGAGAGTGAGAAGCGCAGGATTCCAGCCCCTGGACCAGCAAGAGAGCTGCTTTCCCAGGATCTCACTCCTCTGCCGGGCTCACGAGGCAGGCCAGCCTCCATACCTTCAGCTTCTTGAATTCCTGGCGAGACAGAAAGCCCTTGCAAGTCGCCTGGAAAAAAACGATGCTATGAATCAGCATCTTCTCTCGCTGTTTCTCAAGCCTGGAGACCACGCCCGCCTTGAGGAAGACCTGGAAAGAGAGAAGGCTGCAGGTGACTTCGCCGCCGCATCAGACTGTCTGAAGTGGGAGGCGGTTGCCACTCAGACCCTAGTTTTCTTGTATCCGCCTGAAATCTTTGTTAGGAGATGCCCTTAACCGAGGGTCTGAATTATCAAAGCATCTTGTCTCTGACTGCTCCTCCCTCCCTTCTTCCAGCCCCTGGATATGCATGGTGTGGTCCACACGCCAGCAGCATCGTGGCCACCCAGAGATGCAGAAGCTGGGACCCTACCCCAGACCTGCCGGATCAGAGCCAGCATTTCAACACGATCCCCAGGGGATCCAGAACCCCTGTCGAAACTGCTCTGTGTACTAGAATCACCTGGGGGGGGGGGGGGTGTCGTCAATGCAGATTCCGAGGCCTCACACCAGGAAAGTATGAGCCAGTGGGCTTTTGTGTCAGGCCTGGGATGTGCATTCTCTTTGATATGTGTCACCCGCCATCTGAGGGAAGCTGTGCCCCAGAAATACTGGGTCTTGCCTTATAAGGAGAGGCAGAGAATGTGGGGGAGGTGAGGGCAGCCCTCCTCAGTCAGGAGAGGATGGGGCCAGGCTCGTGCCACCCACAGAAGGGGCTCAGGCATCTAGCAGAAAACAGCTTGAGGTCCACAATTTCCAGGCCTTGGCTCGTCAATAATGGATGAGGCCTCTGCAGCAGAGTGATCAATGCCTCCTCGGGCACCCCGCAGGGCTGCCTTCGAACAGACTGCAGGGCAGACAGGAGGGTTTTCCAAGAGCCCGTGAAGCTTTGGGGCCTGGCCTCCTCCCGCCAACGTGGTCAGGGAGCTGTGTTGTTCCCGCCTCCCCAGAGGCAAAGGAAAGATGCTCTAGCCGTGGGATCCGAGTCAGTGATAGGAGAAGCGACGCTTTTCAGAAGACTTTATGCTGCTTATTCCTGTAAACAACCCTGGGAGTCTCTTTGCCAGATGTGGCTTATAACCCCAAAGACGCTGAATCTCTCTGGAGGCACTGGGTAGCTCCATCTTAATCAGTGATGTTATCAAGGAATCGCTGACGTTATCGATTAATGGCCAACATTTTACGGAGCCCTTACTGCGTTTTGGATCTGAACTAACCACCTGATACACAGCTAAAGCCCTTTACATGCACAATCCTCTGTGGCCGCTATTAAGATGCCCCCATTTTACAGCAGGATAAACCAAGGCTAAAAAAAGGCATTTCCCACAATCCTCCACTAGCAAATGGCAATACCAGGATTTATCTCCTTCTACCTGACTCCAGACAAGACTGTAATTATCACCAAAGGTAATTGACATTTGTATGCCAGCTGAATTTTTCAAAGCTCTTCCTCCTGTGTCTCACTTTAAAACTCCAGACAACCCTCTGGGGAATCCATTGGCGCTGGGAGGCTGTGTAAGTGACTCCAGTTCATATGGCTGGGGATTGACAAACCTAAGACTTGAACCCAAAACCGTGAGTTCATGTCCTGCCCCCATTCTCTGTGTCAACATGTGGCTTCATTTCCTGGTTCATTATGATACAGATGCATGAAGTTTGCGGTTGAATTGCAATTTGATTCTAGGTGAGACAAAAGGTCTATTCTCCATGCCCCTAAACCGATTTTCTGTAATGGAGACCACTGCACTGGTCCCACAGTACACCCTTTCTCGATGGGAAAATGAAAATTAGCACACCCAATCGGTGCTAATTCTGTTTCGTAACCCTCCATCGCTTTACAGAACACTTCCTATGAGCCAGGGCCACCAAGACAATTAGCCTCATTGAAATAATGACACGATTGACTCATTACCTATCAGATGGCCTCAATAATGACTATATTAATTTCACAAGCTGGTGAGTCCCAAAAGCTGCCATGAAAAAAAAAAATCAATGATCAAAGTGATGACAGCGCTAGTTCATACATTACAAAAGGCGGTGGGGGCTGCCCAAACCGCTATTGATTAAGTATGAAGCTTTCATTAAAAAGATAATTGGAAACGACCATACACAGAACTGGAATAAGTCATCGCCTCTGCGGAGTCTTATCCTGCTTTTGTTTTTCCCCCTTTTAAGAGCGTATTGCTGATCAGAAGGCCGACCGTGTGTGGAATCCCACTTTTTTCGTAAATGTCGCGGCCCTCGGCACAGGCCTAGATAAGGCACCAGGGGCTGAGAATCACAAAGGAAAATCTAAATTAGTCGCTTTTCATGGGTCCAGCTGCTTATCGAACCCAAGCAGAGTGTAACATCCCGAAACCCCCATCTTTCAGGAATCTACGGGGCCCTCTGCTATGCAAGCTCTTTTTCCGCTAAAAAATGCCGAAGGCCAAGGTTTAAAACTCTGATACAGTGACAGCTCCTATATCTGGTCCTGCTGAGGAATTAGCTCTCTCCTCTTAGTAATTTTCCAGATTAAAGGAGTTCAATTCTTTAGACACTAAAATGTTATCAGATTTGATAAGCATCTTGCCCCACTGACAAATGTTTTCGACAAGTAATGACAGCCAACCTCGGTTAAATGGCAAGTTACTGATTCCCACGGCCAATGTGGGAGGTAGAAAGCAGCGGCCCCATTTTACAGATGAGAAAACTGAGGTTCAGAGAGGCTAAATCACTCGCTCAGGATGCACTCAGTTAGGAAGTGGTGGAGCCTGGGTGTGGACCAGGGCAGCCTTTTCTCTTCTCTACTTTGTAACCTTCCCACCTATTAAGGGTTAAATCCTGCGATATATACATGTTGCATTTGCCCTTAGAGATCTCAGTCTAGCCTGGCTTCCAAAAGGATACATTGACCTTAATTTGCTCTTACCGGTTTCTTAGTGAACACCAAGTATTACTCAATGAAAACACTGTTTTACTATTGGGATCTTTGTGCTCATAGACTTCTCGGCCTGCCACTGCGAAACTGTGCCTAGCGATTTCTCGTCTTCCTCCGTTTTCTTCCTTGCTCTCCAATAGCTCCTGGGACAATAGCTCCTGGGATCATAAGCACTGACTTTTGCATTCATGAACTAACTGAGTAATTATGTAGACCAGTGGTTCTCAAACTTGAGCGTGCTCTGGAATCCCCTAAGGGCTTGTTACAGCCCAGACTGCTGGGTCCCTCCCCCAGAATGTCAGATTCACCAGGTCTGGGGTGGTGCCTGAGAGTTTATCTTTCTAGCAAGCTCTCCAGGGATGCAGACGCTGCTGGTCCAGGGACCCTACTTTGAGAACCGCTAGTCTAGAAGGATGAAGCTCTTGGAGCCGAAGAATAATTTCTCTGATTCTGGATCATAACAACCCATGCGTAAAGAACGTATCATATGTTTCCATTAATAAATAATAGAACCCACAGTGTATTGAATACCGGTTTTGATTGATACCGGTTTTCACAGGAGCTGTACCTGTACCTAGCTACCTATAAGACCTTGAAAGGGGGCTTACTTCCCAGAGGCACAGCTTCCTCATCTGTAGAGAAGGAATATACTAATTATCTCCCAGGAGATTGTGAGGGGAGAAAGAGAACCAATGTATGAAGTTGCCTAGTGTAGCCCTGGCTCCTGGTGGGAGCCCAGTAACCGACAGGTTTATTCTCTCTACTGGAAAGGTCTGCAAAGGTCCAGTTGCTGACAACTCCCAGCGGGATAAATCAGGTTGAAACCCCAGCAGGCAAACAGCTTCAACCATATGCTTCAGCAGGACCGAGAAGTCTGCAGGGAGAGCCCAGTGTGTCTATGGGGCAGCGATGAGTGTAAATGGTTGTGAGCCCTCCAGAGATGGAAGTGTGATGGGGCAGGCTCCTTGGGGTTCCAAGAGGTACTCATGGACAATAATGCCACCACAGTGGGCTTCCGGAGACCAGAGCCCTTCCCCAGCACCTTTCACAGCACCCGGAGGTGGAAGGCAATCAACAAAGGTTTATTGGTTGACGTTAATCACTATATAATTAAGTGGGGAGATGGATGAAGCTGTTTTTCCTTTGATCTATTCTCTCTCCAGTTTGTATTTCTAAACTTTGTCCCTTCTCCCCTGTCCACCATCTGGTCCTTGAGTTTACAATCTCTGTACCCCACTTCCCAAACTCTAACCTATGGAACACTCGTTCTGGGAGACAGTAAAGCATCTTCCACAAAAGCAAAAGGGTGGGCATCCCATGGTCAAATAGTTTGGCAAGCCCTAAAAACTGTATTTTCCCTCTTGAAAACTTTAAATGTGAGCATATGAGGGCTCTGTGGAACTCTTCTCTAAATGTTTAAACATTTTTGGAAGAGCTTTTGGCTCAACACCAGTTCGGAAAAAGCTATTTCTTTCAACTCTAAAGTCCTGTATTTTCTTCCCAAGCCCTTTCTTTACGCTCACTGCCGCAAATCAGCTAGGCCCGCAGTTGCGTTACAGTTGGTTGCAAAGTAAAAGTTACAAGGCTCTGCGAGAGGACGAGCGTTTCTTCTCAGGTTTTATGGCAGCTCTTTCTGAGGCTCAGAAAGTCCTACTGAGGTCCAGAAGGTTAACTCTTCCAGAACACTGAGGTCCTGGGAGGGGGCCTCTAAAAAATGATATTTCCCGATGTTATTTCCTCCCACATTGTAACATTTTATCTTCATGACCTTGTTAAGATACACGGGGCAGAAAATCATTATCCCTGATTTCAGTTTCATGATAAGGAGATTCTCAGAGGTAACAGACACTGAGGTAGGACACAAATCGGGTCTCATCTGGGTCCCTGATGTGGTGGGCAGAACAGCCTAAGAAAGAAGCACTACATGGGGGCCGCCCCGGTGGTGTAGTGGTTACGTTCGTGCACTTCACTTCAGCAGCCCGGGGTTTGCTGGTTCCGATCCCAGACATGGACCTACACACCGCTCATCAAGTCATGCTGTGGTGGGATCCCACACAAAATAGAGGAAGATGGGCACAGGTGTTAACTCGGGGCCAATCTTCCTCACCAAAAGAAAAAAAAGGGAAAAAAAGTGCACTACATACTTGGCTGTGCCCCACGGCCACTGCCTTCTTCTCCAGATCCAGGGTCTGCAAGAGCTCCTCCACAGCCTGGGAAGAAGAGAAAAGTCAGAGGAGAAGAGAGATTAAAGGTGGGAGATTCTCAAAGAGGAAGGTCAGGTTGGCTGGATGGCTGGTGCATCACGAGAGAGGACAATCCCATGTGTCTGTGAGCTTTGGATAACAGAGCCCTGGCTCACCCAGGTGAGTGCAGAAGATGAGCATATATTGAGCACCTAATGTGTGCCATCCACTTGCTGGGACCTTCAGAGACGCCACCTTATTTAACCCTCATAGCAACCATACTACCACGCCCATTTTATAAAAGAGAAAACCAAAGATACAAAACTAAATGAAGGATGTGTCTGCTCTGGAAAACAGGATAGCGGTCCCTAAAAAAATTAAACATACAACTACCATATGATCCTGCAATTCCACTCCTGGGTATAAACCCAAAAGAAGTGAAAGTAGGGGCTTGAACAGATGTTTGCACAGCCACGTTCATCGCAGCACTATTCACAACAGCCAGAAGGTGGAAGCAACCCAACCATTCAACTGATGAGTGGATAAACAAAACGTGGTGTATATATGCATGACACATTAATCAGCTTTAAAAGGGAGGGAAATTCTGACACGTGCTATGACGTGGATGAGCCTTGCGGACACCATGTTAAGTGCAATAAGCCAGGTACGAAAGGAACAATACTGTATGATTCCACTTTTATGAGGTCCCTAAAGGAGTCAGATTCATAGAGAAGAAAGCAGAATGGTGGTGGCCAGGAGCTGAGGGGAAGGGAAGGGGCAGTTAGTGTCTATTGGGGGCAGAGTTTCAATTTTGCAAGATGAAAAGAGTTCTGGAGATGAATGGCGGTGATGGTTGCACAACAACGTGAATGTGCTTAATACCACTTAATTGCATACTTAAAAATGGTTAAAATGGTAAATTTTATGTTATATATATTTACCACAATTAAAAAAAAATAAGTGAAGACATTGTTCCAAGGTTATAAGTTGCACATGGGCAGAGCCCGGTTCGAATCAAGGTCTGCTGGGCCACATCGCAACATCGATACCTTGAACTGCTTCCCACGCCCAGGATGGCTCCAGAGGACCCTAGGGCATGAGGCAATTCACCCAGTGTGTCACTAAAGTCCTCTGGGACAGCTTCCCCAGTACTCTGTCCTTCTCTCATTGTACTTGCCAGCGACTAGCTCCCTCTCTCAAATATTTGCTGAATAAATGACATGGCCATTAACCTTGTGTGCCTGACCTAGATGATGAAGCAAGAGCCTGTGTTTAACTCATCTCTTATTTCCTCTGCTGCACCTGGTACTATTTTGTGCATACAGTAGGAGCTCAATAAATAGAATGACTAAATAAATGACTACCCGAACAAGAGACATCCAATGGGGGTAAAGGGTAGAGAGGAGAAAGGCAGCTCCATGCAGAAGAAACAGATTCACTCAGAGAGACTCCTGGATGCAGCACTGGCCAAACCATCAGCCATTTAATGGAATTTTCCTCTTTTCATATCGCCCTGCAGCTCAGCTCTAAAACAACCCTGCCAGAGACTTGTACCCTCAGATAAATGCAGGTCGCCCAGTTCCTTTGTGACTGCCAATTCCTCTCCTTCCACCTCCACACCACCCCTCGTGGACCTTCCATTCACTGAAAATCACAAAGTCTATTTTCAGAATAAACTGTCAGAAAAGTAATTGCAACACTGAAGAAGCAAAAGGTATTGAGATTGGAGTAATTTCGTAGATGAGTTTCAATTCCATGGGTCATCAGTATCACAGAAAACTTCCTAAGATACAAAAAAAGAAGAAGAAAAAAAGCTTATTAAAAGTCTAGTCCAAGACTGTAATGTGGGAGGAAGTCTCCTCCTCTGGCCTCTTGGAAGAACATTCCACAACACCCTCCAAAGATTCAATGGTTTTGCTTATTACATTTTAGCCAAAAGTGTTCCCAGGGAGCTGCAGGCAGCAGAATGCACAAAACCAATATATCCAAAATACAACATCTTTTCTCTCTGAACAAGAGGGAAACAAAATAAAAATTGGCTGAAAATAAGATAGATGGATGAAAAATAAGTGAAACCTACAGCCTAAGAAATTTTCCTAAGTCTACCTAGGAGTTAACACCCAGAGTCGAGGTTTGGGGGGAAAATTCAGGATGTGGAGTTAGATGCCTACGGGTTGAGATCCTGGTTTTACCACTCATGAACTCTGCAACCTTGGACAAGCATTTTGCATGGAGCTGCAGGCTCCTCTTCGGAAAAATGAGGCGAGATAACAGCACCTATTTCAGAAGATTCTGTGTTTGTGCTTGTGAAGTGCTTCACATAGGACCTGGCATACCGTAATGACCGAACAAACATTATGAGCTAGTCCTAATGTCCTGGAGTGACTCCTACCGCTAGCCTAGTAGAGGTGGTACCAAACACAGACCATTCCATTTCTCAGATACATTCTGAACGTGGCCAAAACACACATCGAACCCCCACAATATCCGAGACTTCGTTTCCATCTCCTTGTTTTCTTAAAGCCTTTAAATGTCTGTGTAGCCAAGAACACTAGTCCTAACAGAGACATTCTGTTCTGTTGACCTCATTTTGCAGATCAGAAAGCTGAGGTCCAAAGGATAGAGTGAGTGAGTGGCTACGGGCATTGAACTAGACTTCTGACCCTCATTTTCTTCACCTGCAAAATGGTGATTCTATGCCCTACCCAGACCATACAGGTGTCAGGCAGTTAATTGAGAATCTGTGAAAAAGACTTTGTAAGTGACTTTGCACTTAACTACCATTACCATTATCATCGTCAATATTACTCTTAGATCGAACTACATAAAACTGTCACTTGCTTAGGTCAAATATGTGACTTAATTTGCTTCTACATAATGTATTCATTGTCCCACAGCTGGTTGATGGAAGACAGGGCAAGAATCCAGGTGACTATGAGAAACGTTGTCCTTGTCCCACGTCTTTATGGAATCAGCTATTCCGTCTGAATTGTCTGGATAATTGATGCCTCTCCCTACTCAGCATGGGACCCTGAGTAAAATGTTGGCCACTTTGCTCCAAGGAAACAATTTTCTCTTGTGTTTTTGAGTCTGAGCATCTCAGTACTTTACCCATAACTCATTTTATTTTCAAGCCTCTGCAAAAAGTACTATTTTATGCCTATGTTACTGAGAAGGAAAGTGAGGTCCAGTGTGATGAAATGACTTGTCAAAGGTCACATGCTAAGAAGTGATGGAGGAGGAAACAAGTCTTAAGGAATCAGATTCTTGAGCTTGTCCTCAGCCCTCTGATGCTTAGATCCAGTCCGGCTCCACCACTCACCAGCTGTGTGACCCTGAGCAAGCCACTCTTCCTCTCTGATCCTCATATTCTAGAATATGGGGTAATCCTGCCTATCCTACAAGGGCATATTGGGGATTGAATGAGGTCACAAAAGTAGCGTGTAGGAGTGAGACTTTTAGATGGTGGAACAAGGAACTTGATAAATCCCCTCCCCAAGAAAAAAAATGATGAAAGTGGAAAAAAATTTCAAAAGCAACAAATTTAATACTCTGGAAACTGAACGTGGGCTACAACAAATTGAGAAGCACTTATTCAAGAAAAGTATTGAGAGGATGTGGAGAAAAAGGAACCCTCATACACTGCTGGTGGGAATGCAAACTGGTGCAGCCACTACAGAAAACAGTATGGTGATTCCTCAAAAAATTAAAAATAGAACTACCATGTGATCCAGCTATTCCACCTCTGGATATTTATCCAAAGAACACAAAAATGCTAATTCAAAAGATACATGCACACCTATGTTCATTGCAGCGTTATTCACAATAGCCAAGACTTAGAAGCAACCCAAGTACCCATCAGTGGATGAATGGGTAAAGAAGATGTGGTGTATATATAAATGGAATACTACTCAGCCATAAAAAAGATGAAATCGTGCCATTTGCAACAACATGGGTGGACCTTGAAGGTATTATGCTGAGCGGAATAATTCAGATGGAAAAAGACAATTACCGTATGGCTTCATGGATATGTGCAAGATAAACAAACAAACAAACACAGGTCTGGAGAACAGATTGGTGGTTACCAGAGGGGAAGCGGGTAGGGGAGGGTGAAAGGGGTAAAGGGGCACATATGTAGAGTGGTGGATAAAAACTAGACTTTTGGTACTGAGCACAATGCAGTCTATACAGAAGCCAAAAATATAATGATGTACACCTGAAACTTACATAGTGTTATAAATCAATGTGACCTCAGTAAGAGAAAGGAAGGAAGGAAGGAGGGAGGGAAGAAAGAAAGGAAAGAAAAGAGGAAAGAAAGAAAAGAGGAAAGGAGGAAAGAAAGAAGGGGAAAAAACTATTGAACTTTAGGCAAAAAACAGTGGGAGTTTATGGCAGTCTTGACTAGGATTCTTCCAGTCCCCACCGAGCTCTGTTACTGCCACAGTGCTACCAGGGTGAGGCAAGCTGTGAAAACCAGCAACATTGCTGCCAGAAGGAGCTCACTTATACAGAGTGTAGCACAGAAAAACCCCACACCCAGGATCACTGTCAGAAACCATAGTGATCTTGGAAACAAACAAATGGAGAAGGTCAATGGCACAGCTAGTTTAAGGTTGTTATCCTGATTGGGGCAAGCCAAGGACCAGGGACTAGCTGGAAAGTTAGCAAGGAGATACAAGTTAGCAGGGGACAGCCACAGTGGGTCTTGATAATCTGGAAGACTTCACACACACTCAAGGACACACGCACGCACAGGAGAGAGGGAGAGGGCCCTAGCTATCCACATCTCCCTATTTAAACATAAGGCCATGTGCCCAGGCAGAAAACATGTGAAAGAGCCAAACAGAAAGCAAAAAGTGGGGCCCAACTGTAAGTGCCTGGACGTTGAACACATTTCCCAACCCACTCACGGCTCCATGAGAATCAGGTCTCACAGATCCAATGTGTTTGATCACTACTCCTGCTGACCACTAAGCTATGCTGACACAGGGGCAACCCCTGAGAATCCACAATTTGGAATAAAAACA